CCATTGTGTTTTTACCAAGCTCCCCATGGTTTCCAATGCCAATCAAAATTTGAGACCCTTGTCTCAGAAAGAAACATTCATCTGGATAGGAGAGAGAACTGAAAGTTCTCTTAGAAAGATTTTAGTATTGCCAGAGTTCCCTCCAGGAAAGTTGTGTCAATATACACACCCCCATCTACTGTAGAGGAGTGTCTTTTTCTCTGTATCTTTGACAATATTGGGTAGTGGTCAATAAAGAAAAAAGCCTGCTAAACTATCAGATTTCTACATTACATTACAGATGTAGAAATCATACAACAGGAAAAACCATCTCCCCTGGCTAGAAGTCAGAGAACTTGACCACAGTTAAAGTTAGAACTGAAGGGTCACTTGCCGACCAAGTTCTTGTCTATTTAGTCATATTGTTGTACACCCAGATATATCTATTTTAAGCTGAGAAAATAGCGCATAACATCTGACACACTACATACTTTCTCTTTTTGTTTAAAAAGACTTTATTCATTTTTGATAAGGGAAAGGACAATCTCAATGTCAACTTGTCATCTAATCATAAATTTGAATTTACAGGATTCACTGCCCTAAAGACACTGTATCTACTGACTGACAACATAACTTAAAATGAAAATCTCCTTTCTGTTCCCTAAGGTTGCATGTTGAAAGAATTAAACAGTCCTTTGCAATAGTCAGCATTGGTACTTGGCCTAGGTGTAAGATCAAAGAGCAAAACAGGAGCAAAAGAAGGCCGAAAGCATAACTTGATCGCCCAGCGAGTACAAACATCATTGGAACAAAGAAAGTTGCAGGCACCAGATAAAAAAGGCAGGTTCATTAGCATAAAAAAATTACACTTGGTTGAAGGTGAGGTCAGCTATTCCACACGTCAACATGTATGCCAATCCTAATGGCTAACATGGAACCACAGAAACAAAAACAGAGACCTTAAATTCAGTAACTACACAATGTAAAATTCAAAACTGGAATTTACCCAGGTCATCCTCCAAAATCTATAGCTAAAACTTTTTCTTTTTAATGCACCAGGAAGATCTGTTGTAATGACATGAGTTGGTCACACTTAGATTTGCATTTATATAAGATTTATAGGTTTAACTATAAATAGATTTATATAAATATAGATTTAACTACCCAGCTCATGCACTAACTGCGCTAAAAATGATGAAACTTACTCCATGACTTTTTCTAAGAACTCACACCACATAACAGCTAACACCCAATATAGCTTCCTAAAAATGCCCCAACAGAAAACATTTTGTTCAGTTTGGTGCTTGTTGTGACGTAATACCAATAGAATAGTGTACAACTACTTTAGTTACTCAGCTGCTACTTCAAATATTTTAATCTAACTTTTGTTCAGACTTTAATAACTTCGTACCTATTTGCCAAAATCCTTGTGTTAAATGTAACTACATCTGATATTCTTAAACTGTAGCTCCTGTAACACAGTTCAAGTGTTTTTTTCCCCTGGGTATATCTAGACATTTTAATCAAGAAAACAAAGTTATGCTATTATGATTAGCCAAAGCTCTTTCCAGCAGACCACTGAATACAGCAAGTCATAACAAATGCCTTCCCAGAGACAAGAACAAGGCAAAATATTTTCTGTTCATAAAAGGAGCTAACAGCATGCTTTGTGCCATTAAAAAGCTACTTTTCAAAATATAACCAGAAGACTTACGGTCTACTGGAAAGCTTCCACTAATCACACACTATAACTAAGCCTCAGAAACTTTCATGACAAAGGCTCCAGATATACAGAGAGAAAACATTACTTAAAGTTACGTGGAAACCTCAGTTAACAGGGAAATGAAGCCTTAGAAGACAGAATACATCTAACAAATACGGGGAACAGAGTAGACACTGTAGCTGGCTATTCGTAAAGGACCACAGTTTCTCCCTATGGATCAACACTGCCTACAAAATAAACTGTACCTTAATTATAACGTATTTAAAATTACACTTTTACAGAGCTATTTAGTACCTGACTCAGAAAAACAATCGCATTTATTTGAGGTTTACATGAAATCATACAAATAAAATTTGTATAAACACAAATCCACATCGAGTCATAACACAGATAGCAAAAGACAAAGTAAAAACAAAACTAATTGGCGGCTACATACAGTTGGACACAGTTGTGTCTTGTACACTAGAAAGTCTTTTACAAAATTATCATCTTAGATCAATAGAAGACCAAACTTCAATGTTGTCCTTGCAAGATGGGCTGCTTTAGCAATCTCTTCCTGTTTTCTCCAACGTTCCTTTTTAATATGGCTGGTAATTATTTTGGTGATTGCCATCCCCTCGAGATGCCTTGCTGTAAGTGCTCTGTTGGCCACTGTAGTCTGCATATCCATGCATATCCATAGTTCCCGTAGTTATACCCAGTATAACCATAGCCGCCATAGCCACTATAGTTTTGATCACCACCATATGCACTATTGTCATTTCCATATCCTTGATCATAATAATTATTAAATCCTTGGTTCCAGTTTTGGTCCTGACCTTGGCCACGACCCCTAGTACCTCGTCCACCAGCTGCAGCACCTCTTCCTCCTTTTTGTTGTTGCTGTTGCTGCCTATATACCTCTTTGGGTTGTGCAACTTTGATGTCACACTTCCCAGAACCAATCTGATATCTGCTTTCTACCAATTTCTTTACTGGCTGTCCGTCTGTATATGTAATAAAACAAAATCCTCTTCTTTCATTTGTTTTTGTATCCATGGGAAGTTCAATATTTTCAATCTCTCCAAAGGCTCCAAAATATTCTTTAATTTGTTCTTCCAAAGTATCTGGGCTCAATCCACCCACAAAAACCTTTTTGGGGGGTTCCTTCCCCAAGCTTTGGCCCTATTAGGGTCTATCAATTTGCCATCCAGCTTGTGTTCTTTCAGTTTCAAAACCTTATCAACACTAGCAGCATCTTTGAAATGCACAAATCCAAATCCTCTTGATCTTCCAGCGACTGGATCTGTTTTCATTGTGCAGTCTACAACTTCTCCAAATCGAGACAAATATTCAGTCAGATCTTTCTTGCTTGTATCCCAGCTCAAGCCTCCAATAAACATTTTACCGTCATCCTGCTGATTCACATAACACATTAATTTTTCTTTATGGTCAAAGAATTGAGGATGAAGAAGCTTGGAGAAAAGACCAGTCTCTTGAGTATTTTCCTGTGTCTACTGACTTCCTATGTAAAATTTAAATTATCTTGTTCTTCATTTGTTATCCATAAATTCCAGGAGTAGTGATCTTATAAAGGTCTGAAAAAATATATGTGTTGAATAAATTCCAGAATAAATGGCAGAGGAAAAATCCACCTTATTGATTGTGTAGGTGGGTGGACTAAAAGGTACAATTCCAGCATTATTTCCCCCTTATTAATGAACAATAATTAGAATGTAATAATACAATGGTAGCACACAGTGGTGGAGATTCTGTGGTACATGTAATAAAGTCTTAATGGATATTTGGGGTTTAGAATTTGTAAACACTCTAGAAAAGCTATGGTTGCTAAACTGTATTTTGTACTTGTTGGATATTTAGACTTTGTTTTAGAGTTTGGTGTTTCTAGCATAGTTTATATTTATTGTTTACTAAGTGTCAGACACTATTCCAACTGCTTTTTATCTATTATCTCTCATAACCCTATGAGGCATAAGTACTAATATTAGCCCCATGTTACATAGGGGTATGATTGCAGCTCAGAGAGATTACCTCCCTTGAAGTCTAACAACTCCTAGTTAGCTGTAAATCCAGCTCTCTGGTGCCTGTGGGAGCAGCTGTGCTCAGGGTCTTCCTACTCTGCCATCTTGCTTCCCCCCGCACATGCCCAAATCCAGCTCTCTTAACCACAATGTCATCTGCTGAAGCTTGTGGTAAAATACACACAACTCAGAGTCTGAGTTATCACTTTCAGTGCTAATCTTGGCTGGAAGTTTGGGCTTTGGAAGTCGTATGGCTTGAAGGGGGATCCATTATTTACTAGCCAACTAGATTTGGGCAGTTCACTTCTCTAAATCTCAATTTCCTCAATTGTAAAGTGCAAATAAGCAAATAATACCTCTACCTCTTACAGCTGTGTGGATTAAATGAACTAAAGTAATACGTGTTACTAAAGTGAGATAATTCTGCCATTGTTCCCCCCCCCCCCAAGGTGAGTAGCATGTATTGAACATGTTGCTAAGCATTCTTTAGAGGTCCAAGGTTTTTCAGAGAAGTGTTGCTCCAACTGAAAAGAAGAAGAGTTAAAAACGAGATGAATTGTGGTTCTGGGGACCACACTTTGAGAAATAATGGCATGGCACAGTAAACGGGTGAGAGAATTTGTGATTGCATTTGTGCCTGCGTTTTCACCTGCACCTCTTTCAAGCGTGCAGACCACTTGTACATGTTTACGTAAACACTGTAGTGTGTCATTGGTCCTCAGAAGCCTCAAGTTAATGGGTTTTTATGTAGTTGGCAGTGTCCAGCTATATTGCCAAACCTGCCACTGTGTGACCCGGGGCAAGTGACCTCAGTTATGCTTCAGTTAAGAATTTGCAAAACTACCGGGTACATATTAAGCCTCTTTTAAAGTGTTAAAGTTAAAAAAAAAAAAAAAGTATCCTTTAGATTGCCTCTGGTCCGCCTCAGAGGTGCCAAGAGAGGTGAGCAGGCCATTTACACCTCGGGTGTCAATCCTACTTCACCGAGAATAGGGAGGGAGTTGCTAGTTTAAATTCTTTAGCCCCAGATAGTCTCCAAGGTGTGAAAGGAGTCGGGGAGAGGACTTAAAGCCTTCAAGAAATTAGGGTGGAAAAGGTATATAGAGAAAACTTTTCTTTGTGAGTCCAGTTTAGTCTTTTTGCTACCGAAGTCTTAGCTTCGGTTTCTAGCGTCTGGGGCTGGGCACTTAAGAGGGCCATTTTTCACGGACGGTACAGCCAGCTGGCTTGTATGCCCGAGTCCTCACCGGCTTCTCTGACCACTCTGGGGCGGCTCCTGCGGACCCGCGGCGCATCCCCGATGTAATCCTTCTGAGCCTAGGACCCAGCGGCTGCCGGGCAGCCCTGGCCCCGCCTCTCGGCGCATCAGCGCCCGCGGATTGGCAGCGCGGCTCCGCCTCCGCCATGGCTGCCGCCCGCCGCCGGGGCTACTAAGTAGCTGTAGAGGTACTGTTCTCCGCTGCGGCTCCCCGGCCGCCCTGTCCGCGGGAGGGTGGCGCATGGGTCTCCTCCGAGGCGCGCCCCCATGCGCTCGGGCCATGGCGCGTCTGGGCGCTGTGCGCTCCCACTACTGCGCGCTGCTGCTGGCCGCGGCGCTTGCCGTCTGTGCCTTCTACTACCTCGGCTCCGGCCGGGAGACCTTCTCCAGCGCCACCAAGAGGCTGAAGGAGGCCCGCGCCGGAGCCCCCGCCGCGCCCTCGCCGCTGGTGCCGGAGCTGGCGCAGGGCTCCGTGGCGCCGGCCCCGGGTGCTAAGGCCAAGAGCCTGGAGGGCGGCGGGGCCGGGCCGGTGGACTATCACCTGCTGATGATGTTCACCAAGGCGGAACAGAATGCCGCGCTGCAGGCCAAGGCCCGCGTCGCGATCCGCTCCCTGTTGCGCCTCGCTAAGTTCGAGGCGCACGAGGTGCTTAACCTGCACTTCGTGAGCGAGGAGACCAGCCGCGAGGTGGCCAAGGCCCTGCTGCGGGAGCTGCTACCGCCCGCTGCCGGCTTCAAGTGCAAGGTGAGCGGGGCCTCAGCCGGAGGTTCCGGGCGGGTGGCTCGGTCAGCGCGCGCGCCCGGCCAGGCTCCAGGGGTCAGGAGGGAGGTGTCTTCGTTGCGCTGCCCACTGCCAACGCCAGTAGAAGCCTACCCTCTCAACCCGATCCCCCTGGCTGAAGTGTGCATTCACAGCACGCTGGAGGCGTCGTCCGGGGGCGTGTCCGGGAGCCTCGTTGTTAGCCGACTGCCCTGACCGCGTCTCCCCCTTTAACTGCGGCCTCCTTGAGAATTGGCACTCCCCGTCTTTGCTAGCGTTACAGGATTCAGCAGTCAGTGCCTTCAGAGCCTGCCCCCCTTTTTATTCTTCTCAGTCTTTGACTTTTTTTTAAAATAAATTTATTTTGTTTATTTTATTTTTGGCTGCGATGGGTCTTCGTTGCTGCGCGCGGGCTTTTCTCTGGTTGCGGCGAGCGGGGGCTACTCTTCCTTGTGGTGCGCAGGCTTCTCATTGTGGTGGCTTCTCTTGTTGGGAACACGGGCTCCAGGTGCGCGGGCTTCAGTAGTTGTGGCTCACGGGCTTAGTTGCTCCGCGGCATGTGGGATCTTCCCGGACCAGGGCTCGAACCCGTGTCTCCTTCATTGGCAGGCGGCTTCTTAACCACTGTGCCATCAGGGAAGCGCCTCAGTCTTTTCCTTTTGAGGATGGAGCAGGTCATTTGAACGTACCAATATGCTTCTGGTGCAGAGTCTGCTGGACAGGGTCTTCGGCCGCTTGAATTGTTCAGGTTACAGTGACATTTCTCATAGCTCATTTCTCTAAGGTATTTCAGTCGGAACGTCAAGCCCAAACCCAGCCAGTGTGAACCATCTCATCTCCTCTGTGTGCCCCCTTCTCCCCTACCCTCAAGGGTCCTGAACCCATTTAGAGAAGCACCGGGTTCCTCCCAGGAGGTACAGATAAGATCTGGGGAGAGCAGAGCTAGTCACCTTGTCCCAGGCTGGACCCACCTGCATCCCCATCATCTCGCTTCACCTCCTGGCTCTGCTTGTCAGAGATTGGATTCCTAACTTAGAGTTAATGGTCTCAGTTAAATTGCTTGCCTCGTTTTGACCTAACAGTTGCACAGAGGGGATCCAAGGTCTGATTTTGGGATAGAAATAGTAGGTGATCTTAAAGGATGGAGCCTGATGGTGGGGGGACGGGCGGTGAGGCAAGAGTAGTGTTCCATGTGTTTGTGCCCAATGAGTGACTAAGGGGAGCTGATGCCAGGATCCTGCAGGGTTCAGGGGTCTGTTGTTTGTTGTCTTCAGAATCAAGTTCTAATTTCTTGGTAAGGCCGTCTGTGTTGTGGCCCTGGCTCTCCTCTTCTGCCTACCTTCTTGTCCTCCCCCTCCGTGCACCTTAGATCTTAACTGTACTGAATGTGCCTTTACATAAGCTATACTTTTCACCCAGAATGTCCTTCCTTCCTTCCTGGGCCCTTGGCCACTCTTTACTTAGTTTTCACCTTCCCCCAGGAATGTCCATAGACTTGGGGACAATCTGTGCGCAGCCCTCCACAGCTCTCCTTTCCAGCTTCCCCCCATAGCATCAAAAGTCTGTTCTCTGCCCAGAACAAATGAGCCCATCTGGAACACCCACCATAGTCAGGGAGAGGTACCTGGGCCTGGATTCCATGGTACAGGAGGCCAAGAATCCAGGTCCTGGAGCTTGTGGCTGGCCAGGCCCTTGACACCCACTGTCTGACTTGGGGTTTTTCAGCCTGGGGCCCATCGCATTTGCCCTAATTGCAGTCTCTGGAAGTAGGGCCTGGCAACCTGTTCCAGGTGGTCCTTGGGACTTTAATGTTTGAGAAATTCTGTGCTAGTCCAAGGGAGAAAACCAAGGGCCCTTGATCATAGGGCCAGTCTGGGCAGAGCTGGGATTTGACCGGCTCTCCAGACACTGCCTTGAAGACCGGCATGTTATCTCTTCACTTTCTGAGTCAGAGGTCACAACTCAGGCCTATCTCCTCCATTGCTAGGGCCCTACTGTCCCCTTCTCGAGCTCCAGCCACAGTATCTTGTTGCAAACTCAGTGCTTTCCAGCCTACATGCCTCTGCTTCTTTCATTCCACTGTCAGGATACCCTTTCTGTGTGCGTCGCCGAGTCTTGCCCATCTTTGGATACCATCCCCTCCTTGGAGCCGTCCAAGGAACCCCCATTCAAAAGGCACATCTTCCTCTTCCTCGTGTACCTCCCTGGTGCTGTAGACTCTCCGACGTCTTATCTCCCATCCCTGTGCCTGGCACATAGTGGGCCCCAGAAATACTTGTCCAGGGCAGGTCCAGTCTCAGGGCCAGCTTCCCTTCTTGGAGTCTGTGTTTCATGCTTTGACTCCTTCCCTCTGCTGGGCCCAGTTCTGACAGCCTTAGCCATCACCCAAGGCCTGAGGCAGCTGCAGATGACCTGAGGGAATTGACACCACCCCTACTGAGGCATGAGGAACGAGGGTCTGGGGGCTTTCAGCCAGATGGCTATGTTCAGATAAGGGTTTATCAGTTCTAGCTAAAATTGCTCCTGTTCCTTTTGAATGATTTTTTGTGAATCTGTTTTCTGTTTGTGACAAAAGGTGCTCTTTTTGTTTTATTTTTTTCTTTAAATATGTAATCCTAAAAGGTTTGCCTCATTTTAGTTGTCATTTAATTCTTCCTCAGGTTTGGAATGTGTCTTCTGGTACCACTTCACACATGCCTTTCCCTCTACCTGGAGTACCTCCCACCCCACCCCCACTTCCTTAACTGGTACTCTGCTTTCAGGTCTCAGCAAAATGTTATTTCCTTGGTAAACCTTTCCTGAGCCCCCATTGTACATTCTCATCACACCAAGGACTTTTCCTTAGTAACATTTCTCACACTTGTCGTTATGTAATTATTGAATGAGTTATTTGTCTACCTTGCTAGACTGTAAACTCCTTAAGGGCTTGGACCCTGACCTCTCTTAAGTGTATTCTTAGCAGCGAGCATCATGTCTTACATACGGGAGTGCATCTTATATGAGAATTATTTTTTCAGTGTTAATTAGGAAGAATGACACTAGAAATTCTCACCCCAGTTGCATCACAGCTGGAAGGGATCTTCAAGAGCATATAGCAACCCAGGTGAGGAAACTTGCCTAAGGCCACTTGGGGAGTTACTGACAAGGCTGGGGGCTAGACTGAAGTCCTAGGCCAATGTTTTTCTCTTTGTACCATGTTCCGCCTTTAAGGAGCACTTCTCTCTTGTAAGATAAGGTAAAAGAACAGTCCACTCCCAGGGAGAGTTGCCCTAAAGTGTGTAAGAACACCTTGGGAAGAGGAAGGCAGCTCCTGGCCCACCCGGCTGTCTGGAGACAGCCTGAAAGCTCTTCCTCCCTCAGGGTGGGATCTGGGACTCCGCCAGGTGTGTGGGATGCAGGGCAGGGCTGCAGTGAGCCGGCCTAGGACTCGTGCTCACACTCAGAGGTCTCTTCTCAGGCCATTTGCAAGTGCCACAGAAATGGTGGAGCCGAAATGGTTGCAGAAATTGATCATAGAATATTACTAGTGACTTTAGATTACATTTTGGTTAATTAAATATGAGGTAAAAAGCTATTCACTTAAACAGAAAAATCTTGTTTCGACTTATTATTGAAAGTCTTTCAAAATCCACTGGTTTGTTATCTCCTAACAGTATGGAAATATATTATTTGTTCACTTATTCAATAAACATCCAAACCTGTTATGTTCGAGGTACCAGGATAGGAGCTGCTTCTAGCTCATTTAATAAGTCTATGGACTAACTGCATCAGAATCTCCTGGGGACAGTTATTCAAAATACAGACTCATGGACCCTGCCCCAGCCTGTGGGTCAGAATCTCCTGATGGGGCCTGGAAATCTGAATTTGCACGAGGCTGTGGCAGCAGGCATGGAAGTCCTTGCTGTAAAAGGGATACAGGAGGGCCTGATGCTTTCCTGCCCACCTTCAGACCCAGCTCAGGCATCCTTGCCCCTGTGCAGCCTGCCCTGGGAGCACAATGCCTGACACATAGTAGACCTTCAGAGAGCATTTGCCTTTCATTCAGGCTTTCCTGGCTCTGCTGTCATCTTGTTAAAATGGGACTTTTATCACACCACTCAGAACCCCCTGGCTCCCGGCTCCCTGTCATCCAGGTCATTCCAGCATTCTGGCCCCACAGCAGTTGGCTGCAGCTTCCTTGTCCAGCCTTTCCCCACTAAGCTGCAGGAGACGCTGTCCCTTCTCCTGGAGCTTTGCTCGCTTTGCTTCCGAGCCATCTATTGTCTCATTCTGTCTGTCCAGTGGGATCTCACCCTTCTAAAACTTAGGTCCAGACTTGTGTTCCATAAGGCTTCCTTTTGCATTAAGTTTGATAGAATATGCCATGGGAATCCCACATAGTGGTAGCTTAAGCAACATGGAGCTTTCTCATCTAAATGGAGTCCAGAGGTAGGAGGCATTACGGGCTGGCCCAGGAGCTTCATGACATCATCAGGGTCCTAGGCCCCTCCAGCTCTGTTTTCCCATCCCCACAGGGTGGCCCTTGTCCTCATGGGCCAGAATGGCTGCTAGAGCTTTAGTCATCACATCTGTGTTGCAGCCACAGGATGGAGGAAGAACCAAAGCAGAGTTCCCATTAAAAATAGTTAATAAGGAGAGGAGGGGAAGCTTTGGGGTAGGCAACCAGTCATCTCCCTCAGGAGGCTACCATGCATGTCAAAGCCCTGTGAATGACTAAGCACCTGTCGTGTGTTGGACCCTGAATGCACAAATGCAGGGGACACAGAGGGGGCACAGGCACAGCCCCCTGCCACCCAGGTACCTGTGTCGCTTAGCATCACCCCCACGTACAGCCTGTCCTGTTGCTAAACCTGCTGGGCTGGGCACAACATGGTCCTGAGGGAGGGAGACAGCACTGAGTTTAAACCCCAGTGGCCAGTTACTAGCTGGTGACTGTGGGCAACCCCCCTCGCCTCTCAGGGCCTCCCGGGCCTCCTGTAAAATGA